TTTCTGTTCACATTCTTCAGTCTTGTAGCCTTGCTTTGTAACAGCAATCCACTAGAAGAAGCCAACAGTCTTGCTTTTATAAGCATTAACTTACAAGCAAATGAATCAGCTGTGCCTCTGAAGCAGCACATGTCTGGATTGATGCAGCAAAACAGTGACTCTCCCTCTTCATGGAAAATACTGCCTAAAATCCCTGTCAGAGGTCTGCACAAGTTCCTATGCTGAAGAAGAAAGAAAATGATGAACACAGAACTCTCGCAGCAATTTGCTGTTGGTGTTAAAAGTGCTTTTCTTTTCTTGGCCTCAATAGCTTTTTTCTTCCCAACTCTTTCCCGCCCCCACTTCTTCCCAGCYCTGTTTTAAAAATAAGTAATTTGTTGAAAAATGCATCTGACTTTCAGGCTAACAAAACAATTGTTTGTTGGTCTTAGTAGAACAGGCTGCTGAGAAACGGCTTTTCATTCAGCATCAGAGTTAAGAGAGAAATGGTCCTGAGAAGCAAGTAGAACTTCCTCAAGCTTAGCCACAGAAGGAATATATGTTCCTTCATCAGAAGGAATATATGTTTCAAATACATATATTTGAAACTGCTGAGAGCCATAACTGTGATTTAAGATATTTTATCAAGCTACTGAGCATGAAAACACCTAATCCCTCCATGACTTCAATGTGGGTCCGCTTGACTGATATTTTAAATTAAAGGCTAAAGGTATCGATGCTGTATATTAAAGTTGAGATATTAAATACAAGATACCACAGAAATGAAGACTTTAAATAGAGATTTTTGGGAGCATCCATCAGGTATTGACAAGTAATCTATATGGGACTTGTGAGATGCTTGGGATGAAAGTTTAGGCACCAGAGTACCTGTCATGTTCCGTGTTTTTGCTTTATCAGTATTTTTATCAAAAAAAAGCCAGTGTTTTACATCAAATTTTTGCTGCAGCCTCATACTAATAGGGTCAGGCTGCATCTGTGGAGAACAGGATCGTTGTTCTGTCTCCTCCAGCCATATACGTGCCTCCAAACGTGCGATATATGCTGTAAATTGCCTTTATTATGTGCTGCTTAAAAATCTCATTGTCTGCTTTGCATACAAGCAATTTATTGCTGCTTATGTTCTGACAGAATGAAAACTAATGTTTAATTATGCATTGCCCTAGTAATGTGGTGTTTAGGTTGAATGTATTTGAATTAAATAAGGGCCATTAATAATGCCTAACAATTTATGATATATTCATTGCTTGATTTCAAATGATAKAAATTAGAGAAGCTTATTTGAAATGTCACCAATATAAGATGGCTTTGTGGGAACACCTCTCCGTGTGCTAATTTCAGAATCATTACCAGCTGAGTCTTACTATTTATTCAATGTCCAGTAGGCTTTTATTATTCCCTTACTTGCAGTTTAATTACAACCTCTGTTTTCCTGACAGTGTGAATTCAATCCCAAACCTRCAGGAGCAAAATGAGTTGCAATCAGTAGGTTTTTGCCTGAAAGCGCCGCGTCCTGTCCCGGCGCGCCCCCCGCACCAGCCAGCAGCTCCGGGCACACAGGGTTCTTTGCACTGCGTGTTTAAAGGAGCAATGTCCATCTAGAGCTTTCAAAATTGTCTTTCCTAAAAGTTTGCAAGCCGTGGGRAATGTTTCTGTCACACATAGACACCTAGTTCTGTACAGATAGTTGAGCAGATTCATGGGAGGTTTCTCGTTTTCTTATTATTATCTCCTGTATAAGTATTTACAAATGTTRTTACTAGACATGAGGTATTTATACACATCACTACTATGCAACTCAAATCATAGTCATTCGTTTTTCAAAATATCCCTTTTCCAAGGCTATTATTATAGAGGATTTAAATTCCTCAAAGATCCAGTAAGCAATGTCTGTTACAAATTAATGAGAACTGCAGCAAAATACTGCATTGTCAAAAATCACTATTTCATCACAGTGCTGTTAAAGGATTGAAAGAACTGTTTCTATTTCAGTGTGAGGCATATGCGTTTATTGTAGAGATGCTATAAGARCGATTTCTCTTAGAAGTAATTATAATTAAGTGAATGTTTGGTTCTGAATTCCCATCAATTGGTCAGCCTTCTGCCTAGTGAGCCCTTTCGGCTTCATTTATGTGTCTTGATTAGCTTTGTGGAAAATTGTTTCTTGCTTTTAATTTTGTTACAGCCGGCAGAAGTCCTTAGAGGAAAATTGATATTTCTGATTTCTCCTGGTGTTACTACAGCCTTTGTAACACAATGTTGTTGTAATTGGGAATTTCATTCCCCTCACATCGCATTTCATTTGCTCTTGTTACGGGAGCTAGTGATGTTTGGTAACTGAAAAGATGCACAAAATACTTGGTACTGGTACCATATGCAGTTTATTTAACATTTTGTGATATATGACCTTAGGACACAGAGAAGAAAAAAGTTAATCTCAAAAGGCTAAGGCTGCTTTCTCTGCATTTTAACATGACGATTTATTTCCATAGTGATGCCAAGGTGAGGAGCTGATCCCTTTGTGCAGTCCCAGGTTCTGCCAAGATGTGAGAACACGGTTGTTCCTCCCTGTGTCGTGTAGGCCGGCAGGCCCGGCCTGCTCGAATCTCTCAAAAAAAGGGTTTCTTGCACAAAGAACCAGACCTGCTTCTTGAGAGGTTTACATGAATCGATGGCCTGCGCTGTGGGAGGTGCCATTACTCACCTGGGAYGCGCTACCAAAGGTCACTTGGACTATATGTCTGTCATCGGTGGCGGCGAGGCAGGGGGTTTGCTTTTGTTTTCCCTAGGTAGGGAGAAATTGCCTTAAAACAGAGAATTTACTTAGATGTACTTCAGAGTTGGATGAATTTCCTAAAAAAGAAAAGTTAATTTACACAGAAAATCCTGTTAGAGTGTATTATTTTGCCTGGTGATGGGGTGTGCGTGGTGGTGGTGGTGGTGGTGGTGGTGGTGGCTTCATACTTTCCGTACTTCTTCAAGCATGGAATTTGCTGTACTATCTGATAATTTAAAAGAGTAGGTAATTCTGTGCAAGCCATCTAAAGCTTCATATTGGTGTTTCCTCGTGTAATATATCTGCTTGTCTCTAGTGTTTTGTACAACAGCTAGGCTGGTTGGGCAGACCCATGGAGCGGCCTGTGATCGCAGGGTGAGATTGATGTACAGTGATACCGGCTGTAGTTACGAGCTTGTATGTTAGATCTAGTGATGTTCGATCAATGTTTTGTTATTTTATGTCATAGKTAATGAGGTGTCAGGGTGATTTATTAGGCTTGTACAGCTGTGTTTGCACAAATTTCCTGAAGCTCCTTCTTTCTCTCCCCTCGCAAGGAGGAAGGAGCCCTCTCCCTAGAACATCAAGGAGAAGAGCACGTGGTTCAGCCAGTCTCGGCGATCTTCATATTTCATTTCTAGCCTCTGTTAAATAACTGCAGAGCTTTTAAGGGCTTTCCAAAGAAGTATTTTGTAAAGTACATTCAACAGATTTTTATCTCTCTTRCTGTGGGCTGCAAGGGATATGAGTAACAGAAATGAGACATGGCTAGAGGAGCTTTGCTGAGACTTAAAAATACTGGAAAGTATCGGGGCTGTCTGACATATCCCTTGTGTTGGTTTCTTTGTTTAAAAGTGAAAAAATTCATCGTTTTTTTTTTTTTTTTTTTTTTTTTTTGTCTTCAGTTCTGCCCAAGATCATTCAGTAAAAGCTCTTATTTTCCATTAGCAAGAGCACATTCCCTCTCTCATTTATAACCTGTAGCTCTTTCAGTGATGCCTTCTCAGAAAGCTTCTCTTAAGCCATGTAGTATTTACAGGGAACTAACGAGTTCCTCTCTGGAAAGCGATGCTGCATAAGAACAGCTCCAGCACGGAGCAGCCAGGGTCACCTCTGTTTAGGTTTAACCACCTCTGCTGTGCATTTGCATCCACATAGCTGGAGTTCGCATTTGGCTAAAGCAAAATGTGCTCTGCAGCAGCAGGAAGGTTTGATCATGTAAATCAAAACAAATTACCAAGGTCTGAAGCACTGCAAGAGCGTAGGTAAAATATATTCAATGAGTATTTACTTGTTGTAATGGATGTTTTGTTAGTCGTCTGAAGGAACTGTTGCAAGCTGTCAGTGCTGGGTCTTATGTTCAGCATGTAGTAGTTAAAATTTACAAAATTTAGTTAAAATTTACGAAAATAGTTGTAGATACACAAAATAATAAAAACGTGCCTGCAAACTAAGTAACTGTGAACTCGTCTACATTTTCTCGTAAGCACATGGCAATAAGTGGATGCTTCTGAAAATAAGTGGGTGCTTTACTGTGTTTGTAAAATCCTAATCTTGGGAAGACTTGACAATGCTTCTTTCAAAGCTGCAAAGAATAAATGACATGCCTAAGTCTAAGAAATGAAGGAAATACTTAGACTTTATTTCTCCACCCATTTTTAAAGGAAAAATTAACCAATTAAAGTGAATATTCAAAAAAAGGCCTTAATGCCTATGAAAATGCCACCTTATGAAAACTCAACTGTTCTCTACTCTTACATAAGAAACAAATCTCTGCTTATTAATTTCACAATGTGTGCATTCAATGTCGGTAAAATTTCATTTTAAGACTGGTTTGTAAACTGTGAAGGTTAACAGTCTCTGGAAATGCAGAATTTGAATTATCTAGAGAAAAGGCAGCTCAATTAAACAGGAAGAGTGTTTTAAGACTCTTTTGCTGACATCATCATCATTGACCTTTCACAAATAGTATTTTCCAGGAGTGCTTTGAAACACTTCTTCCCTGAAACTGGTATAAATATGTTGTGCCATTTCTTCTCTTCCATGCTGCTGATCTTTGAATGCATTTGATTTGGAAAGAGCAATCTGCTTTTCTGTTCTTCCTCTTAAGCTTAATTCCAGAACACGCTAAAAGGAAACAGTAGACCAAGTAACTTCTTCACAATTAAATCACATGCCGCATCTTTGCAAAGACATCAGCAACTAAAACGTACTCTGTTTTCTCTAGATCAATGAACTGAGCCATGTTCAAATCCCTGTTATGTTGATGCCAGATGATTTCAAAGCATACTCAAAGATAAAGGTGGACAATCACCTTTTCAACAAGTAAGTACAAGTAACAATTCTTTGTAGAAGTTGGTAGTGGATGTTGTTTTTCAATTGATGGGACTGAAATTTTGATGATTAGTTTAATCCTGTGTTAAACATAACCATCTGTGCTGTTCTAAAAAGCAACAGGAGGGGCTGCTGGGTAGTATTCTTTTCCATATGTTATATTATTACCTTATGTATATATTTTATGTTAAAAAATGATTCACTCTSTGATTATTGGTAGCTGATATACATACTAATTTTGGTATTTTTTAAAATACAAAATTGCATGCAAATATTGTTAATATTTTAAATGAAATATTTGAGTAAGGATGAAAATTTAAATTATATATCAAAGCTGAATATTTTGCATCTTCTTATAATTAGTAGTAGGAAGTCATATTATTCATAGATGAGCTCAAAAAGTATTACGATGATTTAATGTAATATCCACATCTCTTAAAAATAAAGGTACACCACAAACAGAACATGCAGACATACAAAACTGTTAATGTTGTTTTGTGTATAGATTAAATTCAGGTRAAGAAAATACTTGTAAAAAGGAAGAAATCCATCGTGTCTTATAAAAGTCCAATATGGCAAAGCTCAAAATTACTTTTTTTCAAGTTTAATGTCTGAAATTAACAATAGGATATGAAAACCAGTCTGATACAAAATTAACCCAATTTTCTTGAAGTTTTGATGATGTCATTACTTTCTGATGTCACACATGATGTAATTCTTCTATAATCCAATCAATTTCTTCACCTTTGGGAGATTCTTAGGGCAAAGAGTAGATATCTTCTGATTTTGAGTCCAGGTGCAAAAGCAATCAAAATGCAATCTGTATTTATTTCATCCAGTTCTAATATAGCTTGTTAGAGAGAAATAAGTATATGTGCTTTAAAAATTATGAAACTTGATAAAGAGAAAAAAAAAAAAAACATGTTGAGCCCAAATCTGATTTTTTTTTTGAAGGCATTAGAAGAGAAATTGTAAATCTCCTTATTCTCTGCTTTGTATGAACAGAATTGGGACAGAATACTCCAGAATTACTTAATTGCATATGCAAGTGAAGGAAGTTGATTTGGTGTTATATTCTTTCAGAGAAAACATGCCAAGTCATTTCAAATTTAAGGAATATTGTCCAATGGTTTTCCGTAATCTAAGAGAGAGGTTTGGAATTGATGATCAAGACTTTCAGGTAAGTTTGCTTTCGAAATACCTAAACCAGTGATATAACTAGTTTTTAAAGGTTAACAATGTTGTAGTTGTGAATGAGCAAGGCAACATGCTGAAACAAAGGGCTTTTATTTATGTATTAGTCGGAAAACTAGTTGAGAAAGTTGAGAAAGAAGAGGTACTCTCTAAGTCTTACCCCAGCAGCAGCCAGAACAGTCTGTCCAGGCTGTCTTTTATTTCTTACCTTTTTACTACCCTTAGTAAGGTCCTCCTCATTCCCATTGGAGCACCCTCAAGCCGTGCTATTAAAGCTCCAGGGTGGTGCCTCTTGAAAGAGAAGGAAAAGTGTCTGGACAATACTGACAAGAGATGCTGTGTTCAACCAAATCTCTTAATTAACATTTACTCTAGTGATGTGCCTATGTGAGATGTAGTTTCGGAAAAGGCCGCGGCCTTCTGGTTTCTTCCTACTTTTTTCATTTAGGAGAGAAGTGTGATGCACAGCCAGCCAGCTTCATACTGCTGCATTACACCTCCTTTTCCCTCTGTTACAGGGATGTGGGAACAAAGAAGTTGCATAGGGGACACACATACAGCAAAACAGGCAGTTGCTCTTGAGTTGGCAGTATTGTCTCCTGCAAGCAGAAAAGAAAATTCTTGAACTCTGCTTCAGTCTTATTTGCTYATGCTCACTGCCATTTCTTTGTCATTATTTATTCTTAATATACCTCATTTCAGTTGTAGCAATAATTCCGTCTGCAGCTGCACTGCTGGGCATCTCATCCTGTCCCATCTAACACTCACTGTAAGCCCAGTGCCTGCATCAGCCGTGTTCTTTTGCTCCTCCAGGCTATTTTGATGCAAGTGGAAGTTGCACCCTGTGATTAAGAATTATCAGAAGATATTTAATATACGATTTCAAGTAACTACAGAGATTATRGAGAATGCATTTGTCATAATATTCACAGTTGTATTACTAAGAATGGACTGAATACTGCAACCTAAGCCTAAATTTCTTTCTTCCACCTCTCCTCTTCATCAGCTTTTCCSCTTTCAGTGTCAAGCAGTGTGTTACAAATGCACAGACTGGTGGGAATGGTGCTTGCAGGASTGCAGGTGACGATTAGCTTGCAAAGTCTCAATATATGAGCACTGTAGCTTTGGTTAGAGTTTCTGCCAGCAGGTGGGGAAGTTTTTTCATTTGCTCTTACTTCTTTCCTTTGGTGGAGCTGTTGTGATCGTATTGCATAATTCTTCACTTTACTGCAGAAATGTTTAAGACTCAGCAGTTTTTACAGTCAAGCCACTAACAGTTCTAACAGTTGGGCTCACGATATCCAATTGCATTCCTGGGTTCAATTTTTCTAATGGATCAAAGAGGAACTTTTTTGTTTGGGAAGACATTTGACTCCTTATTTGACTCCTTTTCATTGACAAAGGAGAAGGATCAGTGAGTCAAAGGGGAGAGATGTGATTGCTCCTAAACTTAAAATTACGGTGTCAGCTAATGCTTGAAATCTTTTAGAAGATGGGGTGATGACATTAGTAGGCAATCAAGGTTAAATTTCAGTGTGAGTATATTAGAAGACTTAAGATGCTGTCATTAGTTAAATGACACACTTAGCATAATTAAAATTGCATTGCGGAATGTTTTCATCTGTGCTACTGTTAGTACAGCAATTGCTGTGTTGTAACTCTGCTGTACTGCTCTTTGAATTTATTAATGATGACAGTGATAAACAGTTTTATGTGACTGTCACTAAAAATGCAGATATTTTCACATCAAAACCAAAAAAAATTTTTTTTTTTTGTATTTATGTGGGTTGGGATTTTTAGACAATGTATCCAAACAACCCAAAAGAACAGGATGTAGCCATATCTTGGTGTAAATGTAACAGTTTTGTTACAGAAAAAAAATACTATTAAGAATTTCAAGTTTATATATTGAAGCACAGAAGTTAGATGATATTATTTTTGACCCACAGGAAGATGATGTCTGTCTTTACTACTCTTTTTCTGCATTCCAAGCAGTTTGTGACTCTGGATTCCTATTTTGCTAGACTGTTCTGATAAAATATATTTTTTAAAAAAATCCTGAAAATATTAATACATTTTGAATACACTTTCAGAATTCTAAATCATTTTTAAAAATACACATAAGTGAAACTTCAAGTAAAATTGGAATCAAATGTGAGATATGGATTTTTCCCAATAAAAGTAAAAGCTGCTTTCATTTTAATGTTTGCATTCCCTGTGGTTTAAAAAGAGAATCTAATTTGACAAAGGCAAGCTGCCTGTGTATACATTTGTTTTAGATGAACTTGTGCTTAGGAAATCGTTCCAGTGAATGTTGGTTAAAATGATAGTCTCAGAATCAAAAATGAATTGGAAAAAGCAATATTAAACTGAGAGAAACGTATGGATCAGAAAACAAATAGCTTCCTCCAGAGAGTCTATTATTTCTTTAATGGTTTTTAGAAAAGGAGTCCTAATCAGTTGTGAACTTTGTCATTCCAGTTATTGATCAGGATAGGACTAGTGGATAAACTAGATAAATCTGTTCATCTGTTAGTGGAGAAACTAGTAGATAAATAATCCTGATTACCTTGTTCATTAGTCAGACGCCTCAGTGTATTTAAAAAGAATGTTCTTTCCAAATGCTTTTGTTTTCAGAGTATGCTGCAGATATCCTATATGAGTTGTTCCAGAGGACAGGTAGCGTTTCTCATAAGGAAAAACAGAAACTCTACCTCATTAAAAAAAAATGGTAGTGTACACACTAATTCCTAAGCTGTATTCATTTTAATGCTTGATATCGTGTTATTCACCTTGTATGGTAGATTTGTGAATCAATATATACACAGTTATAGATTATATATGAGTAATAKGGAGAATCTTCTCTTATTTTTAAAGACACTTAACTGTCAAAGTCCATTTTTTTCTGCATGCATTCCAATTTCAAAGTCAGGAGAATTCCCCTTGAATTCTCCTGTTCATGTCTTCCAGAAAACCATTTCTAGTAATGAGATGATTAAAAAAATGAGGGTTTAGGATCTTTGAAATGAATTCGCTCCCTTCACATGATGCAAACCACTGCCTTTGCTTGAGATATCCTCAGTAATCTGTCCAATAAGCTTTATTTCATAGTTAGTCGTGCTTCTGTGAAAGATAGTTTGATTAGTTCTAAGTTGGGATTAAAGTTTCCTGGAGCTACATGCGTAGTTGTTGAAAGATGAGTGGTGGTTTTTTGTTGTATTTGTTCGTTTGTTTGCTTGCTTTTTTTTTGTTCATATTATTGCTTTCTTTTCTTGCTATTTTTTTCTTTATTAATGTGGAAAATAGAGTACCAAGTTGGTAGACTTTGAGTTTTAGTCAACATTTGCTAATATATGCTAATATATATCTGTTATGACAAATCTGCAAGTAAGGATAAGAAACATTTCCTATGTCAAAAAATGTTTCCTTAAACCCTGATCATCCGTCTTATTGGTCACGTACTACTAAGATATTTATTATATCAAATGAGAAAAATATTCTGGCTGGTTTTGTTGTTGTACTTTGTGCTATTCAATGGTGCTAGTATATACATAGATCTCTTACCCAAGAAAAAATCAAGGCTCAAAGCAATTCCACAACTCAGACAATTAATAAATGAAAAAGTTTACCTTACCTTGTGTTTTTGTCAGTGTCTTCTAATTCATCAAAAAGGAATCCCTAACTCTTAAGATTGTCCTAGCATTGACAAGAAAATGCCGGAGAACATCAATTATTTCCAATAGAAAGAAGTGGAGTCAAAAACACATGTAGTGAATAGCACACTCTAGTCCTAATTTAATTTTTAATTCCTACATCTTCCTCAATAGACATTTATTTTCCAAAGTTTATTGTATAGAAAGTCCTCTTTTCATCTCAAAATGTATGGGAAACAAGGAAACTTTGAGTTTCCTTTCAACTTGATGACCATAATTTTTCATCATGCAAAGTCCAAGAATACAAATCTGCTGGAAGAATTACAGAACTAATTTCTGTACATTGTAAAGTTATGAAAGATTAGAAGTTGGGAGCTAATTGAAGAAACTTTTTACCCCCAAACAAGTTTAGAGAAGTTAAATCTACTACTCTTGCAAATGCTTGTACTCCTGCTGCTCTGGAAAGGGTATCCTAATTTACTACCCTTTAGCACATCTGTTCTTGCTTAAAGTTTACATAAATCTGGATTCTACTAGGCTCAACAGAGGGAGAGWCGATTCTTGCCCAATAAAATAAAATTGCTTCTACAAGAGAGCATCAGCCCCGGTGTAACTAACAGTTCTTTTACTGGGGGCGAGAGAGACCAAAACTGATTTTCCTTCAGCTTTTAGCATTTAGTGGAACAGGAGAAATGTTTACGTATGACTTTGGCTGTTTGTGGCAGAAATTTGTAATTTGTCTGTATAGGATGTGAAGTTCATAAAGAACTTGTGGGAGATGTTCTTCAAGTTCATTTTGATTTAGAGATGCTTGTTATTTCTATATGTGTAGAAGCTTGAAATCTAAAATGAAAATTGATGATCCCTGCTTTTAAACAATTTCATTAATAGAGAACCACATGAACTTGGTATTTTTCACTTCTGATGTGGGAAGAATTTCTTGAGGTATTTTATTGTCCAGACTACATGAACTTTTTAATTCTTTAAAGATTTTCTTGTTAGATTGTCAGATAGATTCAGCCTGCAGATATAATGGACTATACTTTCCAGAATTTTTATCAGGTAAAGTTCTGGCAATAACAACTAAGTTGTCCACCCCGTAACATATAAGAGTTATGAGACAAATGTCTTCCTATAAAGCCATTCTTCTAATATACATACATATATAAAGCTATTTAACAAAGGCTATTTGATATGAAGCACGTTCTGTTGTGCTCTCATGCTGCAGACAAGGAGAATGATATAGCATTCTATGCTGGCATACAAAATAAACCTATGACAAAGTCAKACATCTCTGAGATTTTTCCTTTTGCTTTTATATTATAAGAGTAGC